TATATATATATTCATTTAAATGTCCAAAGGACACGTTTTGCAAGGCATCCTTCTGCCTGCCAGCATACAGCCTTTCTCAGTCCATGAACCTAGAGTCCTCAGCTGCTCTATCTCTCTATGCAGGGCTCTTTATTTGAGCTATGGTGTTGGAGACTATTAAAAGTACCATGGACTAACAGAAAAACAAACAAAATCTGTGTTGGCAGGCAACATACAACCAGAAGGATCCTTAGAAGATAAGATGACCGGTCTTCATCTCTAATACTTTGGACATGTTACCAATAGGCACCAGTCTCTGGAGAAGGATATCATGCTTGCTAAAGTGGAGGGTCAGCGAAAACGAGGAAGACCCTCAACGAGATGGATTGGCACAGTGGCAGCAACAATGGGCTCAAGCATAACAACAATTGTGGGGTTGGCATAGGATCTGGCAGTGTTGGTACATGGAGGGGATTGCAATCATTGTAATGAAGCAAAGTATATGATTTGTTGAATGTAAACTGATGATCTGTTCTGTACATTTTTACTCAATTCACAACAAAAAGTTAAAAAAAATAAAAGAGTTGTTTGGCTGTCATTTCTGCTTTTCAAACCTGGATGCTGGTTTCTGGTCTTGTGTCCCAGGAAAGGCTCTTGTCCCCTTGGGATGCCTGGGAGGCTGGTTAAAGGTGGGCAGGCCACTCTCTGGATGTGAGCTCAGGAGGGCAGTTGCTTAGTTGATTGCTGAATGATTGAAGCTGGCTCTGGGCTGGGGCAGAACAGACACTGGGTGAAAATGAAATACTCTTTGGATGAAGTGACTGAATCCCAGGTGGAAGAAGGAAGCCCAGGGGCTGAGTAGGATTGGAATACAGCAGGTGTGTGAGGCAACAGGAGTAGGAGCCACAAGGACAGTGGAGCAGGCAGGAAAGTTGTCCCAGAGTCAAGAGAGGACCAGCAAGGATGGGGTGAACAGATGAAAGGGACTTGGTGTCCTGGGAGATGATTTGAGCCCTGGTTCTGACATGTCCTGTGGCATTCCCCTCCCTGCCTCAGTTTCTACATCTGTAGAATGGAATGGTAATTGTGGATGCCTGGAAGGGTTATTGTGATGAGAGGATGTGAGGAGCCTTTCGCAAGTGCTCCTCTCTCCCTGTACCCCCCACATTGGCCATGCCCTCCACCACCCCAGCTCCATCCTACTGCTTGTTGTGTGATCTTGGCCAAGGGATTTTCCCTCTCTGAGCTCTCTTCCTACCTCACATGAGATTGCAACAGTTTCCACTATCCTGGTTTGGGTGAAGATGAATGAGTTGCCAGCATGAGCAGTTGAGTAGGCATGATCCTTAGGATGCACACACACATACACACACACATACAACACACGTGCACACACAGATAGATACACACCCCAGGGCATGCACACACATACATAGCACACATATAAATGCCACACACACACTCTCCACATGCCTATGCACATATACACATATGTGCACGCACACCCACATACCACACCCCTTTGTACATAACACAGACACCAGATGAGCACACACACAACCCACATGAGCACACAAACACAACACACACATACCACACACAGCAATATACCCCACAACATACACACACACAGAACACAGAGGATTCCAGGTCCTGGTAGCTCATGTAGCCGCGGAAGCGCACAGAACATCCGAGTGTAACAGATACGCTCCAAATCCCGGCCACACCACCGGGCTCTGTCTCTCAAAACATATTCACATAGGCTATGTACTATCTATTCTTGGGGCCTTCCCACCCAGAGCCCCACCAGTCACTACCACAGAGTCTGATTAACAAAAAAACAAATCAAATTCTTTACTTCTGAGGTCTTCTCTTTCAAGAAGCCAGAAATAGAACATTCGCTTTTGGGCGGTTTAATATTTTAAAAAAAGATACAATTAGTCAAATACTGATCTCAGGCCCTCTCAGTGTGCTATGGGCCTGGTCCTGACCTGCTGCGTCCCCAGGGCAGCCCCACCTTACCCGGGGGGCCGGGGGGCACCAGGAGGGGCACAGGGGAACCAGCGCCAGCGGGTCCCTGTCCAAACCCTCTGCAAAGAGAAGTAAGGCAGGGTCCCAGGAGTGGGCGGATGTCACCACCGCAGGAAATCCCGGATGAGCTTCCAGAGTTTGGTGACCCACAGGTTGACGCCAAGGTCCATTAGGTACTGAATCTCAGGCGTGAGCATGCGGCGGCAGAGCTGTGCGTGCCGTTGCCCGATGCTCTTCTTGAGGTTGTAGCCTAGGATGGATTTCGCGCCCAGAGGTTGCCAGGGTTGCATGGCCGAGTCTTGGATGGAGGCGGCATCCACCGCCTGGCCACCATCGATGCAGATGCGCCGCATGCGCTCATTGGCCTGCCGCAGGGCCGCCACCTCGCGGATCATGCGCTCTCGCCCGAAGGCCTCCACCTTGCGCCAGAAGCTGGCGTTGAAGTGGCGGTAGAGGTGTGCATCCAGCATGTTCCAGGCCGTGGCGCGCCGGTACAGCTCCCCCGAGAGGCGCGGCACGGCCGAGGCGCGGCGGGCATTGAGCTTGAAGTAGAGCACGTCCTCCAGCTCCCAACAAAGCAACTCCTTGAGCAGCACCAGCGACTCATCGAAGTACTCCTGCAGCAGCACCAGGTGGAAGCGGCGTTCCACCTCCAGGATGTGCTCCTGCACGCGCGGGCTGCCGGGGTCCAGGCCGTTGTCATAGCCCAGGTCGAAGAAGAGCAGGTTGCGGAGGTAGTGGGCGTTGTAGCCGTTGGGGTCATAGTAGCGGCCTGGATCTTGCAGGAACTCGGCCAGCTTGTCCCGACCCGAGAGCTTCCATGTGAAGGGCACCACGGGCCCGAAGTAGTGGAAGGAGGACTCGAAGAGGCGGGCGGGATCGCGGAGCACCGTAATGAAGGTGGCATTGGGCGGCACCAGGCCACGCACCTCGTCGTACTGGAAGCGCATGTGGTTGCAGATGATGTTGAAGCAGGCGCCAGGCCGGTAGTCCTGCACGAGGCTGCGGGTGAAGAAGGCCGGATAGTCGAAATCGTTGCGCCCGTTAGGAAAGGCAAACTTAAGCCCGTGCTTCTGGCCAAAGCGGAAGAGGATGTTGAGCAGCGTGCTGCTGGCGGTCTTGTGCGTCTTCATGAACACGATGTCACGCTGAGGCTGGCACCAATCTACCGAGACATTGGCTGGAGTCGCTGCCTCGGGCTCTTCCGGGGCCAGGGAACAGGGGGCTGCGGCCTCCGGGGTTCTGCTGGGGAGACGGAGAGGTGGGGAGAGCCTTAGCGAGCTGCTGAGATCCTTAGGACACTCGCCCAGCCCATATGTGGAAAGCAGATGGCTGGGAACAGTGGTGGCTGGACAGATGGGGGTGAGGGCAGGGGAGGGATATCAGACAGATCTCCATCCCACTAGTGGGCCCTGGATCTAGAATTTGGCCTCTCTGGCCTTGTTTTCCTAATCTGTGAAATGGAGACACTAACAGGCTCTACTTGTAGTGCTGGTATGAAATCAAAGCAAAGTGGAGCACAGCAGACCCTCCAGTCAAGGCATCTTGCCCTACATTTGTCATGATTTAGTGTCATTTGGACCATATGAAATAGACTTCTCTGTAGGCAAAAGAAAAGGCCAGTTGTTGGCAATTTTAATTTCATTCAACTCTGCCACTAAGTAAGGGCTTAGGCTGTGCTAGGGCCTGTTCTGTAAGAAGTCGTGAGGCTTGGCGTCAAACAAGCTTGTGCCAACTTCCTGACAAGCCCTGTATACAGACTGTGATTGATTCTCGTGCTCCATGAGGCAGGCTCTGTTATTATCCGCACTTCACAGATGGGGACACTGAGGCCAGAGTTGGTGAACAGTGAGTTCTGCCTGCAGTGGAACTGTGTCCAGCACGTCTTGGCACTATGCAGGGCACAAAGTATCTGCCCAGTAGGTAGCTATGATCACTGTTGGGAAGCAACCCCTCTACCACCCAACCCCACCCACAGCTGCCCAACAGGCCCACTCACGTGGTAGCCAGGCCAGCGTGCAGTGGGGGTATGGCATAGGAGTACAGCAGCAACAGGAAGCTGGTGAAGAGGGCGCCCAGCACCAGCCCCTTGGTCATGGATTTCCAGTGCTTCTTCTGCTGAGGCATCTCAGCACCTGGTGGGGACACAAGGGTTGAACATCAGGAGGCTGATGCTGGAATCTGCCTTCACCTGCAATCCCCAGAAAAGTCCACACCAATATAGAGAGACAAACATACGGAGAGAGAGCACTGTAGACAGAGACACAGAGCCACAACACGCAGGCAGAGAGGCAGACAGTGGGCAAAGCCAACTGAAAGAGTTGGGCAGGGAGAAGGTTCTGCTACCTGATTCTAATTTTCAAGTTGGATGGTGAGTACAGGGGTTCATGTATTCCTTAAAAAAAAAAAAATATATATATATATATATATATTCCAGTCCCTGGCACACCAGGAGCTGCAGGTGTTGGTGCAGACATGGCCAAGTCCAAGAACCACACCATGCACAACCAGTCCCAAAAATGGCACAGAAATGGCATCAAGAAACCCCGGTCACATAAGTGGAATCCTGAACCCCATCCAGAATCTTCTGAGGTGGGAAATTTGCCCTTGAAAGGACAAGCAGACCAGCCTGGAACACCTAGAAGAATAGAGGATACCTCTTGAAAGAAAGACCAACAGGAAAAATAAAAAACAGTAACTGCAGTCTGACTGACTACTACACGAACAAGCAAGTTGTTCGCCCTGGAGACATCAAGGCAAGTGATCGGGCCCCCTCAGGGCAAAACCCCTTCCAAGACTAAGACTCAAGGGGAACACACGAACAGACATGTGCTCTGATTGGTGACCACGTTGATCACCTATAAAGAGAAGCGAGGGAAAAACAGCAATGAAGCTACGAGCTAAGTCTGACAAATTTCAATAGACTCCAGTTAAACCGGGTGGAGACCTGGTTGGCCAGCAGTGTGGCAAGACCTGGGGACTCCTGGGCCCAGAGTCAGTGACATAGCAACAGAGGACTAGAGTAGAGAGTGAACATCCAGCTGATAAGAAGTGAGGGCATATGCACAAGAACATTCACGCTAGCAGAAAATACCCACTTAGCCTGGCTTCAATGACTAGATGATCAGAACTCAACTAGAAGAAGAAAGAAGAGGAAAAGAGTAATCTGATACAATTTGATGAACTTGACCTAC